AATAATAATACATTCCTATATAAATTTTCTTAAAAAAATATTACAATAACTGACTGCAACCTCTGAACAAATGGGACAAAAAATAAACATCTCAACAACCCAAGTAGCTCGGTCAATTTAGACATTCGAAGGTACATAAATTTACAACAAGCTGAAAATGCGTGTAATTGTTTAAAACATAATTAAAATAATATTTTAAAATTCCGAATCATTCCGGTGCCTAGAAAAAAATTTATGCGAGGTCAAAAATCTAAAAAAAAATGTTTTTGCGCGATTTTCAGCAAAACGGTAAGTTTTATCATAAAATTACCTCAGACAAAAATTATAGATAATAAAATTCTCTATAAAAAATAAATCATTACTTTTTTATACTTAGATTCACTGTTTCTGAGATATAACAAGTCAAAGAGTTGTAATCGTCATAATATGCACACGTTTCCACGCCACCTATGAGGTAGTGTATTTAGCGCGTTTCTTTTAACGTGGTTTTCCCAGTAGGCCTATTCCACACGTCTATTGTGATTTTGTTTAATTGAAAACCTGAAAAGCTGAAAATTATTGCAGAACCAAAGATATTAGTAAGGATTGGAAATTAAAAAAGCGATGGAAATAAAAAAAAAATAGAAATTTACCAGTCTAATTCTTAACCTTCAAATACATGTTCTTGTTGTACTTCTTGTCGTTCTTCGTGATCTTCTTCTTCTTCTTCTTGATCTTCGTCTTGTTCGTTTTCTTTATCCTGGATAGTAAATTGCGTCAATAGCGATGTATCGCATGTTTCTTCGCTGGTATCAAACGAATCCGCTACTATTGGTGATTCAATATTAGAACATGACGGGCTTTAACAATTTGTACATGCCAGAGAACAAAACAGTTCAACTTTTTTACTACCACATTCAGCACTGCATTTCTTTTTACAGTTGCAAAAAATTGTGTTTAGCAGTTTTTCCGGCGCAGGTGGGAGTAAAGTTTGAATTGGTTCTAATATATTGTAGACCAACTTCCAACCCCAGTCTTTTAGATCTAGCTGATAACCAAGCCACACATGAACTTGGTAATATACCCGGAAAAGATTTTGATGAGCAGCAACTGAGTTATTCGTGTGTTTTTAACGAAACATAGAATCTAATGTTGCATATGCATATCAATACTTATATCTAAGCAGGTGTTTTTTTTCTGAGCTGCGTACATAGGAAGAAGAAAGCGAATCCCCTAAGTGATAATATCTTGTTGACTTCAATTACTTTTTTTGAAAACTTTCGCACATTAAACTAAGTCTTGTTTTTCAAACATTTTAAAGGCTGTTGTTTTACGTCTCCTGTAAAATGCAGACGTCGCGTCGCGCGTCGGCGTCATATCACAGCCAGTTATTGCGTGTAAAAATAGTACATGATTTTGACTCTTTGCAAAACTGCTTGGATTGTCAATAGCAGAGGATTCGTTTGATACCAACGAAGAAACATGCGATACATCACTATTGACGCAATTTACTTACATCCAGGATGAAGAAAACTAACAAGATGAAGATATCAAGAAGAAGAAGATCAAGAAGAGCAAAATGAAGTATTTGAAAGTTATGAATCGGATTAGTAAATTTCTATTTTTTTATTTCCATCGCTTTTATAATTTCCAGTCCTTACTAATATATTTTATTCTGCAATAGTTTTCAATTAAATAGAATCACAATAGACATGTGGAATAGGCCTACTGGGGAAACCATGTTAAAAAAACGCGTAAAAAGTACACTATATCATTAGTGGAGTGCTTTAAGCCCTTATGAGATACAAATCTCGGAATTCATATACTGTGAACGAATTTTTATAAAACTTTTTGCATTGTATTATTAATAAGATATATGACAAAGTTTACCTATTTAAATTGGTTGCTTTCACTTTAGTATTTAAATAAACACACACATATACAAATGCATACATACAAGATGGCTCCGTTTTCCGGAAAAGCTCTGTATCAGGATTCCTATTTGAGATTTTCACTGCAAACCTTTTACAAAATATAGATTTAATGGTAGTTCACATTTCAAAAATATTTTATAGATATACAGGGTGAGTCAAATATATATCATTTATTTATTCGAGTTTAGTGAATTTGCTATAAAATCCTGGTTCCAAAAAATACCTTAATACCATAGAGTATATTAAATGGTCTTTGAATTATGACCACGTCCATGAGGACGTCAATATAGACGTCCAGGAACCTTCGTATGAGAACTTCTAATCGAGACGATCGACTTATTGCAAGTTTATCGCTAAGAAACCGCCTTTGTCAGCTTTTCAAATTGATAATGAATTGCACTTAAGAACCGTACATATTAACTAACGGACTACAAGAAGAAGATTAAATGAAGCAAATCGTATGTCAAGAGATGCTTCGGAACCAGAACTTATTAGATGTGTTGACTAGGCCCAAAAAGCAAAGGCATGGTCTTAATATAAAAATTACGAAAAATGTTAGTATATAATATATAAACGGGATTTGGTTTAAGTATTTAATACTCATTTCCAACTACAGCCTATTGCTGCCTTCCCGTTACCCTACGCCACACATCTCGATTTAGAGCGTCATCAGCTTCTAGGTTACGAGCTTCCATTGCTTCCGTAACCGTTCCGTTCAGGATTTTCTAGGTCTACCTCTCTTTCTTCTGCCCTGGGGAGCCCACTGAAAAACTCTTTTTTGGCCACCTGTTCTCCGGCATACGCAGAACATGTCCAAACCATTTTAAGCTGGATTTTTCGATTCGATCCAGTACTGTCTCCTCCGATGCATTCATGATACGCCTGACCTCGATGTTTGTCTTTTTTTTTCCATCCTAGATATACCTGCACTTCTTCTAAGGTAGTCCATTTCAACAACTTGGATTTTGCGCTTCGCGTCTGCACTCAGAGTCCACAGCTCTGAACCATAGCAAAGAACTGACTCCACCAATGTTCTTCCAAGTCTCTTTTTAGTTGTTGCAGATAAGTTTCGGTCCCACCAGAGGCTGTTAAGACATCCAATAACTTGTTTGCTCTTCTGAATTCGGTTTGTATTTCTTCTTTGCCCAAACCCTCGTTGTTGATAGTAGCACCCAGGTATTTAAATTTGTCTACTTGTTGAATCTGGACGTTATCATTAATGAAGACTTCAAAACAAGTGTTGGAATTGACAGCTAAGTATTCGGTCTTCTTTAGACTAACCTGAAGTCCCCATTTGTTGTATACTTGATAAAGCCTCTTAGTCATGAACTCTAGATCGTATGAGTCCTGCGCAATCACGACCTGATCGTCTGCAAAGCTCAGGGTAAATAGTGTGTTGTCCCCAATGGGTATTCCCATACCTTGATATTTCGTCTTCCATTCCCTAAGGGCTAATTCGACGTAAGCGTTGAAGATCAGAGGAGATAAGCTGCATCCTTGTCGCAACCCTTTTGTGGTGTTAATTGGATTAGATAGCCTGTGTCCTATCTTAACGTACGATTCATTTTCTTTATATAGCTATTTTATTATCTTAAGCAAAGGTCTATCTACTTCTAAGATATTCAATACTTCCCATATCTTGCTGCGGGGAATAGAGTCGTACGCTTTCTCCAAATCAATAAATGCTAGATGGACTTCTTGATCTACTGCTATCTTTTTTTCCATCACCTGCTGCAGGACAAAAAGGTTATCTGTGCAAGATTTCCCCGGTGTGAATCCGCTTTGGTCTTCCGAGATTTTGTCACCAATACTGTCCCTGAGCCTACCCTGTAGCACCTTTCCAAAAAGTCTGCTGACCGAACTGTTAATGCTTAGGCCTCTATAACAAGTGGGGTCGTTACGAGTTCCCTTTTTAAAGATGGATACTATGTGACCCACTCGCCATTCTCGGGGTAGTTTACTTTGCAGGCAGCACTGGTTAAATAGCTCTGCCAGACGCCAGCGCAGTCTTTGGGTTCCACACTTTAACAATTCGGCTACAATATTACCAGGACCTGGTGACCGTCCATTTTTCATTCTTTTGAGACTTTGATGTACTTCTCTTTCGCTTATCATTAAAGTGCCTGCAAGGTTGTTCTCATCTTCTACTGCTTGGAATTCTGGTTGGTTTTCTGTCAGTAATTCTGCATAGCAGTTACGCCATTTCTCTATATCCATTGTATTCAAGAGCTTGTCCGTTTGATTGGTTTTCATTTGTCGGATTGTTCTCCATACCTCAGTACTCCGTGCGCCCCCTATTAGGCTTTCCACTTGCTGGCACCTTCTTTCCTAAATATCTGTTTTTCCTACCTTAATGGCGGCTCGTACCTCTCTATTTTTTTGCTTGTAATGACTCCAGTTAGTATCTGTTCGGTCTGAGAGCCATCTTTGATAGAATTTTTGTTTGTTATTGATTAAGGCCTTTATGCTGTCAGTTATCCAAGCTGGTTCATCTTTTTTTTTCTGCATGTTCTGTTCACCTAAAACTTCGAAAGCTACTTTTTTAATTAGGGTTTTTAGGTTGGTATACTCTAGTTCTACATCGTTACAGGCATTCACTTCCTCTAGGGCTACATCTCCTCTGGTACAACCATTTAATACTGGCATCGTGTAGTAAATGAAGCTTGTACTTAATACGCTCAGATTCTTCAATTTCCAATTCTTGTGATGTTGTGTATTCTATACTTTTGGTCCTGCTCTGGAAAGGTACTACTAATTCTGCAACGACCAGACGGTGGTCGGATCCACAATTTGCTCCTCTCTTAACTCTGCAGTCTTTGAATTTGAGTTTCGATATTTGTTTAGCAATCATATAATCAATTATAGATTTTTGTTGCAGAGAGGGCCTTTCTCGGGTATATCGATGAATTAATTTGTGTGGGAAGAAGCCGTTAAGTATACGTAGACCATTCAGTTCACAAAAGTCAATTAACCTCTCTCCAGAATCATTAGTGACGTCCTCACCGTGTTTTCCAACCACTTTACTATCTTCTTTCTTACCAATTCTTGCGTTAAGGTCTCCCATGATTAAGACTTCCTGGCTCGGTTTTATTTCTGTGAGGACTTTGAGAGTGCAGCATAATAAGAGTCTTTTTCCGCTTGGTTTGAATCATCTGTGGGCGCATAAGTACCTATTATTACGGTTTCCAATCCGAAAATGGTCAAGGTGACAGTTACTATTCTTTCGTTGACAGCGTTGTAATTCTTGTAAAATTTAGATAATTTTTTCGCAATCAGTACCGATACTCCAGCTTGAGCTCGTTTTGCCTTATCTATCCCAGACCAGAAGTGAAGGAAGTTGTCGAGATGTTCACTTCCTCTCCCTTTCTTCTTCGTTTCAGAAAGAACAACTATATCTAGGTTGAACCTAGCCATCTCTGATGTAACTTCCGAGGTCTTGTTGACAAAGCTGTTGACATTCCAAGTTCCTATTCGCATAGTCCGTTTCGTAGCCAGTTGTCGTCGTAAAGAATATCTGTCCGAATTCCGAGGCGTGTTTAGGGTTCTTTGAGCAATTAAGTTTTTTTCCGAGTAACAGGTCGCTAGCCCGTTGCCTCAACCCCCAACCTGGAGGACCAGGGGCCTTTCTGTAGGGATGCCCATCCTTAGCCGAGAGAACCGGTTTTGAGGCGCGGGAATCTCGCCTTCGCCCTATTCCTGTTAGCTGCATAACACCCATCCATTGGATGCCATACATTACCAGTGGTCACGCGGCTCTCATGAGCCTTCGAGGACGTAGGAAATAGGACTTGCTGGCAGAGCTTATGAAACAGTGGACATTTCTCAGTTTTTGATGAAATACTCCTACTCGACATTGGAGTATCTCCTTGAGATCCGTTACCAGCCTTCGACCCCGAAAAAATGTTAGCGCCTTAATTAAAACCGAATATTTCCAACAAAAATAAAGCTAATGAGATGAACCAAAAAACAAACCATCGAGAAAGGATGTATCTAGATGATAAAATAATTTTTAAATTTCTTGCTGTTTTAACATATTTCACAGGGTGTTTCAAACTTTCATCAAAAATATCAACATTTTGTTTTCCCTCGTATAATTAACAGATGGGGAGTTTCATTTTTAATTTAGAAAAAGATACTAAGAAGTCAAATAATTTGGCAACACACTGCTTAAAAATCATCAAAATCGGCCAATTAAAATAAAATATATCAACCTTTAAAATACATCAAAGTTTTGAGGTGCCCATTTTTCGTGCCGGTGAATGTATTTCAAAAACTATACATTTTAGTGATATAATTTTCTAATGAAACAAACCTTTATTTTTTTACTAGAATCCAAAAATCAATTACTATATAGGGTGTGGATATATTACTATATAGGGGCCATTACAAAAAACATAACTTTGATGTGTAACTTTTTTTGGGGACACCCTGTAGAACTCTACATAATTTTAGAAAATACTTTAAATTGATTTACATAAGCTCAGAATATTTCACTTCAATATAAACATTTGTTCTCCTTGCAAAAACCGCGTCGCATATGTCGCGCCACCCTGTATAATTCGATTTCAATCAAAATTTCAATGATTAGAATATAAGTAGAATACGTGCATAATATGCATTAGATTTATTTATTTCAAATAAATTTACTTAGAAAAAGAATTAAAAAAATCAAAATATTAAGAAGGAAATAATTAAGAATTTACTAAAATTACTAAAATAAAAAATTAAAAGCAACGAAAAAAATGGGTAAACATTTTAGTATTTTATCTATAAAACACAATACAGAAGGTTTCACGTTAATACATTCACAGCAATAAAAAAAATATTTTTTTTTCAGATTTTTGCCCTTTAACCTCGCATAATTTTTTTTCCAGGCACCGGAATGATTCGGAATTCTAATGTTACTTTTAATTATGTTTTAAACATATACTCTTATTTTTTGGTCTAATTTGACCGGACTAAAGTCATGACAAAACTATGTGATTTGCGGTGAAATATTTATAAACCAATATCAAATTGAAGAAACAACTGCTTATAAGTACTTGGACCATGAAATACGTATGTATAAGCCGCGATAACCGAATTTGCGAGCTCAATAGACGAATAGGACTGATATAGGTCGCCTGTCAACTGAACTACATTTTCAAAGGAGCATTTCCGATATGTTTAAAGAGGACGGTACTAGATACTAAGCTACTGTTGAAGAAAATATGTACTACCTGTTCAGACTTATGGTGCGGAGACCCTAACATTAATCAAACAGCAAACATTAAACAGCAAACAAAATCCGAATAACGCAAAGAGCAATGGAAAGATCAATGTTGGGACTATTTTTGAGAGACAAGTTCAAAGTACCGAATACATAAGTATAGGACAGAACAAAAGTTACGGATGCCATAAAAAAATAACGCGTTTAAAATGGAATTGGGTAATGGGGACGAACAAGAAAGGTAGTAAGGAGTAACCTGTAGAATCTAATGTTGCATATGCATTTTAAAATTTAATGAACCTCGTAACGTTAAATCTATAATTTAAATGTATTATTTAGTTCTTGAAAGGCATAAAAATGTTTCTTGTATTAGGAGTAATAAATCTTAATTTTATGAGCATCCGTAAACAACGAATGATGTCAAGTAATAACCATATTAGAAAGAGCGACCAATTCGTTAAGCAAGATTAGGAGTTTATCAAAGATGCAAACTGAAAGGGTGTTACTATTGCCTTTTTAACACTTTCACCTGGGAAATAGTGAACATCAAGGAAGCACTCTGGTCTGTCAAAATTACAAATTATATCTGGTCTTATAAGTAACAGTACTGTGCCATTGGGTGAATGTAAAGTAATAACCGAAACAAAATATGGTATAACGCTCTATGGATCTGAATTATGTAATTAGGATACGACTACTTTATCCGTATAACGACATTGGTTATGCATATTATTATCTTTGCTTATTATTTTATGCTAAGGTCGTCAATTTCTTGAAAACTGAACTTTCAAAAAATGTATATTTACTTTTGAATTTTTTTTCAAACGTCACAAAAGTATTAATTTTAAAAGTCGTTTTAAAGCCTAGGCATAAAAGTGAATAACCTTTACGCCTAAGCATAAAAGTACAAAAATATATTATTAAACTGACATAAAGTGTCAAATTTAATGGCATAATCATAGTTTCTCGATATATACAAGGTATTACTTTTAAATATTTTTATGTTATTTGGACCGTTTAAATTTATTACAGTTGGGGGTTGGAACCTTTGGTGTTACACAGCAAAATAAACTAAATCACCACAATACACCAAAATACTTTTACTTTTACACTGGACGCGCGTTTCGCTAACCATGTTAGCATCATCAGCAGATGATTAAAAACTGGAGTTTGTGTTTTGGTGTCAGTGTTTTGGTGTATTGTAGTGATTTAGTGTTTTACTTTGACGTTTAAACTTGTTTATAAAATTATTTATGACGCTTGAAACCGCCTCGTTCGCCTCGGTTGATTATACGAAAACGAAAAGATGTAGAAACAAAATATTTTATGGGTATATGTGGGGAGGCAATGTGTACAATTTAAAATTGTTTTGAAATATACAGGGTTCATAGAGATCCATACCAAAGTTGTATTTTTTCTTATGGAATACGCGGTATTTTATTTCATTTTTGGATTCTTGGGCCCAAAAAGGCATTTATTATAAGTGTTTAATAAATCTATATTTTTGTCACTTTGGATGATTCCTCCAAAAGTGACAAATGTAAGTGAGCAAAATAAAAACATTAAGTAAGTGAGCCTTAAGTAAGAAATAAAAGAGGCATTTCTAATCTCGTTTCTAATTCAATAAAATGACAGATGACAACGAAATCGTTGCATACGTTTTTGTTTCTAAATTTTCTCTAAATTTTAGAAAAAAAATTATTTACTACTAATATTGTATTATCTTACACCAGGACAATCTTAGCTTGTAAATGAAAGATCAAAGGAGCACGAAAAAATAACTGCCATTATGCCAATCTCTATTATCTCCTATTATTTATTTATTGTTTTTAGAATAATACGAGTCTTTTCCAATATTTTTTAATTCTCAAATATATAATTTTCCTATTATAATCCTATTGCTTAACTTTTTTATAAATACTTGAAACTATTTTCTATTCTTTTGCAGATTTAATTGTCTTTAAATGACTTACGATAGTCCAGATGACATATGGAACAACATAAAACAAAACATTCTGACTGTTTCCAACGCTTTTCTGACACCAACAACAACAAAGAAAAACAAATCATGGATGACCGATGAGATACTCTCCCTCATGGAGGACAGAAGAATTGCAAAAGTCGAACAACAACAACAAAGATACACCGAAATAAATAAAACTATTAAACAACAATGCCAACAAGCTAAAGAGAATTGGGTAACTGCAGAATGCCAAGAGGCGGAACGCATGCATGCTCTGCACAACTTTGTGGGGACTTCATAGAAAACTCAAACAAATTACTGGCACCACAAAAAAAAACACCAACACTGTCTTAAAACACAATGGGAAATTGATTTTAGACCTGGTAGATCTATGCAGCACATGGAAAAGTTATGCAAGAATAATTATTATTTGAAGACCAAAGAGAAGACAAACAACCTCTCAATTGTGAAGACTGGTCGGGCCCGGAAATTCTTGAATCTGTTCAGCGTGCTATGAAAGCTATGAAAAATCGAAAAAGCCCCGGTCATGACAACGTTCATGCAGAAGTTCTTAAAATATTTGACTCAAAGCATCTCACATATCTATTCAATCGAATATACGATACGGGTAAAATTTCAAACGACTGGCTAAAATCAACTTTTATAACAATTCCCAAAAAGGCATCTAGAAAAGACTGTAGTGACTACAGACTTATAAGTCTAATGAGTCCCTGAAACTTTTTCTTCGAGTCATGCATGCTCGTATATACTCAAAATGTGAAGAAAAAAGCGGAGAGACACAGTTCGGCTTCATCAAGGGGCTGGGTACCAGAGAGGCTTTGTTTTCAATCAAGTTACTAATCCAGAAATGTTAGATTAATGCTAAAGATTTGTGTGGTTCATAGATTATCAGAAGGTTTTCGACAACGTTAAACAAGATATTTCCTGCAACAGACTGCTCGAGAGAGAATTAATGCCAGTATATTAGAACCACAGGAACTATATTGAACCAAAACCAAGATAAGACAAATTTTTTTCCACAGACACCTTCAATGTGTGTCAAGGAGGCAAGTGTGTCCGCTAGGGCTGTATACTGTCACCAATACTTTTAATATATACGTCGAAAAATATTTCAAATGGCCCTGGTAGCAGAAAGTGGAGGAATTAAGATTAACGGAGTTCCAATTAACAATATGAGATATGCAGATGATACGACAATACTAGCACCAACTTTAGAGGATTTCCAGCAAATAATAAATAAGATAGGGGACATGGGAAATCGTTTCGGTCTTAAAATAAACGCTA